AATATTTTCTTTTACAGATTGTCGAACTTGATTGATCTTTACAATAGTACTGCAGAAGCACGGCATAGTTATTTTTTTTTTATCATAAATTTTTTATAGCTTGAAGGTTTATATAAGGTTTGTAATGAATCATCTAATAGTAAATGTTTTTGTAAACGTAGTTAAAAAGTTTAGATGTTTTTTGATTTTATAAAACTTTTGTTTAATCAGATTTTTTATATGCATAAACAATAGTTTTGATAATTGATTGTGCCTATATAATTATTATTTAGTATTGTTCTAGTGTTATTATATTATCGGTTTTCCCAAGAATTCAAGTTTACTAATTAATGGATCGAAAAGCAGAGGTATACTCACGATTGAATCTTGAATTTGATGGTTAAAATTGGCATATTCATATGATTATTTGTATTTTATTTTATATACATTTAGCCGCTTGCACTTTCATAATTGCAAGTTACTACAAAGCTTATTATAAGGGTTAATTATTAATCTCTATATTTTTATTTCTAATGTTTTTGCTTACGTGATTCATAATGATTATTGATAAGAGAGTGAATTTGATGCAAATAATGCAAAAGTAACATCGATTATGTGATTGAAGGTTGCAATAGTAAGTTTGCAATTATATCGCTAAAATATTTTTTAAATTATTTTGTTTTTTTATGAATATTATTTATATTTAATGTTGGATAATTTTGTTGTTTTATTGGGGGCGTGATTTATTGGTCGTGAAATTTTTTTTATTATGAAGATTTAGTTTGATTACTATTATGAGAGTTATTTTTTTATATGATATTATGATTAATTAATCAGTTAGCGTGCTTACTGAATTAATTCTTTATAAACAATATTAACTGTTTTTGCTGTTGTATTACTTTCTGGTAATAGAATTAAACAATCGTCTTTATTTTTTACGCGTGAGATAGCAGTATATAGCTGACCATGGGCAAACACGTGAGTTCGGAGGTCTATAATAATACGATCCAAGGTTAGACCTTGGCTACTATTAAAAGTTGTTGAATAAGCTAGACGTAGCGGAAATTGCTTTCGGTATACTGTCCATGAGCAGTGATCCGGTTGAAAATAAAAGTTAATTCTTGGAAGGAGACAGGTTTCTAATGTATGATTAGGTTGGTTATTATTTAGTAGTGTTACTTCGATTAATCGTCGTCCTAATTTAGTTATCATAACTCTCGAGTTTTTAACTAATCCCTTTTCAATAGAGATATTTCGCATAATGGAGCAAATAGCACCACTTTTTAGATTAAGTTCATGGTTGGGTATTCCGGGATGTGTTAGTTGAGCTAAGTAATCTGGCGTTGCAATTGGGTGATCATTTAATATTTCGCATTTTCTTTGACCACATCATAACTGAAGTATGTATGAGTAATTCCTGGTAAATCATTTAGAATTCGATTATTGAAATCATCTACTAAAATATTTCGGGGACTAAGAAAAGCTCTTTTTTGTAATGCATTGTAATCTGTAAGTAAATTTTTTGGGTATAAAAAGGAAATCGCTTTTTCGATATTATAGATTGTTTGAAAAATTTCTAGGGATACTTCTGA